ATTTTTAGCTTAATATTTTATATATTTAGCTCTGTATAAATTTTTAAAAAGTGTCCACAATAATATGATAGGCCACTCTGGCTACCACACACGTTACTTGTGGTTATGTAAGATGCGATTTTTTATGATGCAGTTGATCCCTATCTAATTTCGTTGTTACAATATTGAAAATAATAATGAAAATATTGGAGGACCTATATTTAAATACGTTAGAATAAATTGTTAATAGCGATGGAAGGCTATTGGGATGAGTACTTAGTTATGAATATTATAACAAAATCTGCAAATTTTTGTAGTATTGACATATGGGTCTTTGCCTTGAAAATCAAGTATGGGACATATGATTTACTATATTCCGTAACTCGATTTTCAAGGCAAAGACCCTATTATATGTTGCCGTAACTACATAGTATCAAGTATAGAGATAGGTTTTATATTAATATTAGAAATAATCGCAAAGGCAAAGATTTATTCAATAGCTCAATATATATCTGATATTAAAAAAATTGTATATTAAGTTATGGATTATTATGCATTAAATACATTTTTTATTAGCAGTTTTATAACATTCAAAAATAATTTATCCACCACTCTCTGCTTCATCACTATCTATGTCATCACTATTAATTTCTTCCAAATATTCAAGTGATTCGCTTTTATCTTCGATTAATATTTCTTCATATAAATTACTTTAAGTCATCATCCGTCGGATCTAATAATTCATTGTCCTCTTGACTATTTAATTCTTGTGGTATCTTATTAAACCGTGTTATGGGGTTTGCTAGGGACAAGTAAGTTTATAATTCAAGTCTAGAAATTTTATTGAAGACAAAAGACAAGTTCTTTTCAAAACTTTCTAAGATGTTACATATGTATATCAAAGATGCCTGCTCAACTATTTGTAGTCTATATATTTAACATCTTAAATTTATAGTAAAACCTCTATAAGTGCACACCCTCTCTAAATGCACGTTCAAGTTCTGGCCCAAATATATACATGTCCCCTATAAATGCACTTGATCTCTAAGTGCACGTTGTTAAAGCTTAGTCCAAAATGCGTGTACTTACAGAGGTTTTACTGTATACATATCACAACACTAATGCCACCCTTTCCTATCTAGCAACTTCATACGATTCATTTATTATGTTAATGTCCCTATATCATATCCAATATGACTACCCTTGCATTTTCAACAACGCCCTATCGATAAGTAAAGGCTAAGTAGTATGAAAGGTAATTCACTTAACTATCTAGAACTTTAGATAAAAATTTATTATTATTTGTTTCAAATATATAATTAAATTTGGACATCGCTTATTCTCTTGGATCTCTTTCTCTTTTTTTTCTTTGGACATCTTCTCTCTCTGAATTTCTCCTCTCTAACCTCTTTAAGTTTCTTATATATTGAAGCATATATAAGTAGTGACGTAAGATAAGCTTTAATCCATAGAACAGAAGGCCCAACGACTAAACAAAATAGGAAATGGGAGCAAATTGAAACTACTATTAATGATTCTCTAACAATTTTTCTAAATCGTTCATCCGATTCCATCGTTTCATCTGTTCAATATAAAAGAATGTTATACATAAATTTAAACCATTTTAGACTATGCATAAAATATAAAATCAAAGATTATTCTGTTTATTTCAACCTGACTAGCACTGGTGATGGGCAATACGTATATAGAATTTTATCAAGATCACGAGGTCAATTAATACACCAATCAATATGTGTATAAGCCTCCGCACGGAGCAGACAGCGATCTGGATCCGTACTTAAACATACGGATCCGGAACACTACTCTGGAAATTTATTAGATTATCAGGCAGCGGTCAAGTTAGCCTGCATTGATGTGACGCGTGTAGTTTCAGCCATCTTATACTTGCTATGCCCTGAGTCGAGTCGCGTTCAAAGAAGTAACTTTACTCATAATGCTTACTTCTAACATAGATTAAAGTTTATGATAGGCGACCCATCCATTTGGCACATGGGATGTGACGAATCATTCCATGTGACAAATAATAAATAACTAATAAATTAATTGGTGAATGCTTATTAGTCATATGAATGATTCGTCACATTCAATGTGCCAAGTGGATGGTGTCACCTGAATCCCTCTATAGATAAGTAGGCAAGGTTTTACGACCAAACATACTAATTTGCCCATCACAAACGCCAAGTCTAACAAGTTCGCTATATAAATAAAAGTTTTTTTTTTTTTTACCTTTATCGTTATTGGTCTCTTTATAATTATTGAGTTCTTTATCGTAATTGGATTCTTTATCGCTATCTATTTCTTTAACGTTATCTGATTTTTTAATTTTATCTAAATAATAAATAAATTTATGTAAGCAAAAATAAAAATTAATAAATAATAAAGCCAAATTTAATTACATACCTATTATGATTTGATGTATAATTCCCATAATTTGATAAACAGTAACAGATAGTGAAGGTACAAGTATAAATAAATAGTGTGAATTATCAACATAGTTACGTATAATTGCTATAAGCAAAAAAGTTAAATGAACAATAAATCTAATAAAATATAAAGAAGATGAAAGATATGAAAGGCGTGAAAAATGTGATTCATTTGAACGAAACTCTGTAACAAAGTCTACTAAAGTATTTGTACTAGTGATGACTAAATTAGTAATAAGATATTGAATATAAAAAAAATCGCCTGTATGTTTATAAAAACGAACAGTAAAAAAAATTGATAAAGAATATATTAATAATTGAAAGAAATATTTTAATATCGTTAATTGAATTCCTCTTATTGATTCAGAAATGTTTACAGCGTCCACCATAAATATGATTAATGAAATGGACATTAAATCAAAAATTGCCTCAATAAAACTATCATCTGGTTTCGAGCTCGACTCACTCTGAGCATTAGCCAGATCAAAAGTCAAAAATATGAATGCTAATAGAAGGTAAATATGATTATTTTTCAAAGCCATGAATAAGAAAAAAAAAAATAATGTTCAAATGCCACGAATAAAATTTGGATACTGGTTTCATATATGTGTGCGCGTCTATTAGGTTGCACAAATATGGTTAATAAAGTCAGACCTTCGTAAATTAAATGCAACTTGTGCTACGTGAATTTAAAAAATTAATTTATCGTTGTAGAGGTTAAGCATATATAAGTTTTTGCCGGAGTTAGATGAGCGATACGTTTAGAGAGATCTCATTGCATGGAAATAACAATGAATTAAAGGTTTTCCGTGCATTTATAAAAGATTTTTCGGTTAGAAACCTGATTTTTCCAACATGATAATAAACCTTAGAAACTTCTAATTCTAATTACGTGCTTAAAAAAATGCATACTTGTTATGCATAATTATTTTGCGTAGGATATATATATGTAACAATTATGTTTTTATAATTACTAATATTGTAATACTTTAATTTAAATTGTGCATGTTTAATATCAAAATAAGTATATTTTATACGTAGAAATGGACATAACTCTCAAAATCTGATCGATTACCTTTACGCATTGATAATTATTATCTTCACTATGTTATTTCGCACCTTGCCGGAGTTTGACTTGTGTTCAGGGAACTTTGAATATACACTAAAAAAGTTTTAAGTTTTATTTATTTCTCTAAGGTAATGAATATCGGTTTATCGTTATGGAATTATATCTCCGATATAGGGATGAGCACGTTGTCGATCAACATGTATTATCGTTATTAATGTCTAAATTTAATTCGGAACACTATTCTAGTTCAAAGAATGAAAATGACTGATATAAAATTCCGACAGATCACTATCTCTATTCCGATGACACGGTTTAATAATTTTTGACCGGTACCCTTAACTCATACCGGAATAATATAGTCATTATAACCTTACGCGAGACGTGTGAAAGTATGCTAGGTTTATTACCTCAACATTTCTCTCAATGCACTATGTAAGATTTTATCGATCATCATACAGTAATGATAGCTAAAAAATACTGTATTAAAAATATTTGGAGACTGCTCCGAAAATGAAAATTGAATCTAATTAAATTTTACGGACTACATTTCCATGAAAATAATTTGTGTAAGAGATATTTTGGCACAGAAGTCAATGCAATATCCGATACTTTCAACCAATCAATTCCGTAATATATTTCTAGATCAGTCCGAACTAGGACTAGCACAAACCCGCAATAGCATAAAATGTACTATTCATTCCCGCAATGGCAGGAATAAGAGGAAAATCTCCGGTTATGAGAGTACATGCCCTCATACGTACGTATGTATAACTGTAGATCTACCGAAGTTATTTCCCCGTAGCTGAAAATAAGGGTGTTTTTATGATGCCATGGCATGGCTTAAATTATAGTTGTTGTATGGATATTTATAATTATATATACTGTATATATATTACACATATCTATACAATATATATAATATATATATACTAATAAACAGTATTTAATTATAGTTTAGAATAATTAATAATTAGAAAATTTAAATAAATAATTTTGTTATAAATATAGTAGCTATATAGTATAAAATTATTAAATAAACTATTTAAATTAGAATTTAAAGTAATATAGCTAGTTATACTTTTGTTAAATATAATACCAATATATATTGTTATAGAACGTGTTGACATTATAGAACATATTAGAAATTTTATCTTCATTAGATTTAGAAGATTGTAACGATCAAAACAAGCTATAATACATGACAAACAGACTACTAGTTAGCTAGATAATA